ATCAATAAGAAACCGCGGCAACGCATATTCGCATCTCCAAAAAGAATTATTCTTAACCTACAGCGGATATTCTCCAGCCAAACTAATCCATGGCCCACGTTTCCACGTGGAAGTACGGAAATTCTGATGTGGCAGGATTGGAGGATAGTATTGTAGAGGGTCCATGCTGATGGAAGAATGGAGTGGACGCGGCAGTTTGCACGGACAGCACTCACGGTTATGCGGAGGGTAGTTGTCTGTTTCAGAAGTTTGAGAAAGAACAAAGAAACTTCCCTTTCTGGCTTGTTTCGATGTCCATTATTACCAATGAAGCTTCGTTCTTCTTGTTTTCATTGTATTGATGATTTGAATTTTGTGCTGGAGGGATTAATTAAAGCTTTTGGTCAAGATTAAAGGGACAATCCTTTTCATTCTAGTTTCTATTCAATCATTTGATTCATTGATATGGTTTGGGGATAAGTTTTGAGACAATTGGGAGTAAGAGTTTACAGTTATTGAGTTTTGGGATTTGTTAGTTTTTTATTTTTTTAATTGTTACAATTTATTTAAATCAAATTTTACATACTATGTTGCGTTTTTTAATCAAGCATTAGGCTAGCTAATCAAAATTTGAATAATAAAAAAAAAGACTAGGTTTCAGCACAGGTTTAATCCACGATCCAATTCATCATTGTTTTATGGTATTCTTTAATAATTAAAAGAGTTAAGAATAAGAAGTGGAGTCTAGATGGAATTTTAAATTATGAGATGAATGTGTCTTTGGAATTCAAAATATATTTCAATGTACATTTGTTTTGCATAAAATATTTTATAATAAATGTATTTCTATGTTAATTTGTTTTTTATAAAATATTTTACACAAAAATTAATTAATAAAAATATTTGATGTGTTATAAAAGAAATGGTAATAATAATAGAATTAGAGACAAAAATGATAGAGAAATGATTTCACTATAAAATAAAGAGAATACAAAAGATAACAACTCCAAACAATTCTCTCAATCTTTGCAAACTACTTATACATAAATTAATTAATAATCAATCCTATTTATAAGATTTAAGATTAGGAAGAGAATCGAAAAAACTATAAATCATTAAAATATGTATAAATAATTAAATAAATTACACTATTCTTTTAATTTTTCATATTACATGGTGAATTGAATCATATAAGTAGTGAGAATATGAAATGGTCATGAATATTTATTATTTCATAACACTATCCCTTGAATATTCATTGTATAAGGAACATATCTCTTAAAACCTTACTAGAAAAAAACCAAGTGGAAAAAAAATCCTAGTGAAGGAAAAACATTACAATAGTTCTTGTACACATTGATTTCTATGTTGGGCTCTCCCTGTTGAAAACATTATTTAAAATCTTTAAGATGATGTATCTCGGTCTTGCGTATTATTTTCTCAAAAATTATGATAGATAATGTCTTAGTGAATAAGTCTGCTTGGATTGTCACTTTAATGTATTCTTCCTTTAATTGAATTATGCAAACAATATCATTTTTATATGATATTGTTGGAACTTATTTATTTGTAGATAAATTACATGTCTCTTGGATATACTTGAGTTATTGATTTTAGCCAAATACATTCTCGACTTGCCTCATGAATTAATTTTTTTTTACATGGTTTAAATATGCAGCGAGCTACACTTTACTTCATAGAATGTCATGATATAGTCTGTATCACCATGTGTAAATACATAACTCGTTTGTGATTGAGTTTTGTATTAATCGGAGAAATAACTTACATCCGCATAACCAATTAATAATGTTTTTGATTTATTGGAGTAAAATAAGCCTATATTAATTGTTCCTCAACGATAATGTAATATATATTTAATTTTATTCCAATGTTTTTATGTTGGAATAGAACTACATCTTACTAATAATTTATCTTTTACTTTAAATCTATCGATACATAGAGCATACGTTTGAAAAACTTGAATGATTTAATATATAACATCTAATGAACTAATGTATGTCATTTGAAGAGCTTTGACTTTATTATTACGTTTATTCTTATTTTATAACATTATTATTATATATTGTATTATAAGATTTTTATCATGTCAAACCTCATAAACTTAATTTTGTGGCCCTTGATATTTCGAATAAGAATTATTGATTATGGGTGCTTCATTTTGAGAAAATATTCTCTATATTTTATGTCCGAAATATGCTCTTGTAGTAGCAATACCAAGAAATTTTTTTAAAAAATATTCCGAATTGATTTTCATGTTTTTGAATAAAATAACGAGCTATTCATGAAAAATCATGAATTTTATCCAAATGATTCTACTCTATTCCCTAAAGTGAACATTGTAACTTATGATAATTCTAGATATAAATGTGATTGTGGCCATAATCATTATCATAGTTGGAACAATAATCTTGGTGTTCATAATAATATGAAAAAAATACCCTTTATCATAAGAATAATATATCTTACCACTAGACGTGAATAAACTATAGTAATCACAATAATACATCTTACCACAAAAGTGGATAAACTATGAAAAAATAAATAAAAATAAAAATAAATTAAGTCACTATTCTAAAAATGAATGTTATTGGTATCGCATAAAGGGACATTGATCGCATATTTGTCGTACATCGAACACCTCGTTGAGATTTATCAAGCAACATTGAAACAACATAATAAAATATATAGACTAATTTTATATATCAAAATGATGGTAATTGAAATTAATAAATTGTTAATTTTTTTATTTATAAATAATATACTTTATATTTTCTTATAATTTCTATTGCATAGAGATAGATATAAATTTATTTTGCTATTTATTTATTTATTTTTGTTTATGAATAATATATTTATTTAATTATTTATTTTATTGTATTATTTTTTTAATTTCTTATACTTGAACGGTTAATTAAATCATGAATAATGAGAATATGAAATAATCAAGAACATTCATTATTTTATAACATTATAATAGGTTTTTAAATTTAGTTTATTTATTGAATAATATTTTGAATTTATGAAATTTCATAAAATATTTTAAGAAATATTAATCTACTCATTCTATTATTTAACTATTTCAGCTATAATTACCATCCTATCACCTCCGCTACCATCTCTACTTCTACTTCCATTTCCACCAAAATCCCGTCATTGTCATCACCACTCTAATGTCATTGCCAGTCTAATGCACAACGTTTAACTTTCCCAATAAAAAAAAAAATTGCTCCCAAATTTAATTTTTTCGACGAAGATGAATGAAAACAACAAATGCCATAAGTAGAACAACTTCTTCAGTGGACGTTTGTTTTTTTAATTTGAATTTGGGATGGAGCAAGAACACACAATGAACGGGATTCGCATTTGGCGTCTGTGTTGTATAAAATTATGCAAGGTTCTTTCAATAAAAGAAAGGCATATAGTAATTGGTTGTTGCTTGAATTGAATACTAAAAGATTCTTGGCTGGGAAGATGCTATTGCCTCTTTGATCCATTTTGGGATCTGAGCCCGGAAAAAAGAATATATATAAAAACCATATCACCATGTCATCAAGCACCTACCTAAAAAGAAAAATAAAAGAAAAGTCATGGCGTGTCAATTTGCAATTGCAGCACACAGGAGGAGGCATTTTGTCCCATTGGAGGAAGGCTAATTAGATAAACCGCGGGCAACGTGCCAACTAACATTTAACTAAGTTTCCAATTGCAAAGTCAGGCATGCAAAAGATTTATTTTTTTTGGTTAAACTCTACTCTGCTTAATTTGCCACATGGCTCAAGCTCTCCAACATAAATAATTAGTGAGATTTATAAAATAAAAAAAAATTCATTTTAATTTCAACTAGTTTAATTTAACTAGACTATCATTCTTAATAATAATAATAAAGATTATCTCCTAAATTAGTCTAGTCAGACACAAAAACAAGCCTTTTTCTTTTGCTTCCTAGCTCTAGACAATGGCAAGTCAATTTCCTGGCACAACATATGAGGGTAGTGGTGCTGGTTACATTAATTCGAATTTCAAATTGCAAACCAGGGCAATTGAGATTGGCCATTGATGGAATTATGCAAATCAATTTCCGTGATGGATGAGGATTGGATGGATAAAGAAAGATTCAAAAGAAGTGGTCCACTATTCTTCATGGTGATTGCAGATCCAACATTGGATGGATAAAGAAAGCAAGAGTCGTGTATATAATTTTAATGGCTGGCTACCCCAAAACTGCTAACGTCTTGGATGACGACTGAGGTGATTGTTGGATTGGGATCCAGTCGAAGAGATGTACATCCATACTTAGTTTGTGGACAGGATGCCTTAGTTAATGTCAAACCGTGGTCCCACATCAACACAAGATCCTTATTTACTTATTTTTAAATGCTTAATTTAATCCTCGAAGAAGGTAAACATTTTTTTTTTTTGGGTACTTTTCTTTTTTTTCGGAAGCGTGGGATATCTTTCTTTAGTTTATAGCTAATTAATTGAGATTAATATTTTTTTCAACAAAAAAATTAATTTTTTTTTAATATTAGGGTTATGGTTTGAACTCATAAAATTAAAAAATAAAACATATATTTTCAACTATAGATTAACTCTTTGGGAAATTTTATTGGTCCTAACACTATATTTTTTTGCAATCTAATTCTAATCATGTTATACACTTTTTACACTGATAATATTTTCGTTTGAAATTACTTTATAAAAATTTCTTTTCAAATTTGAATTTGATATCATAATATATATATATATATATATATATAAAATGATAACTCAATTTATGTTGAAATCGTCATTTAAAAAAACTTAATTTTTATTGACATTAAAATTAATTTAAAAATACTTCGTTATTTATAAATATATATTAGAAAAAACCCTACAAAAGTAGCTATGATACAACATTGTGCTTAAGTACTCGAAACTTGTGATAATTATAGAAGGACTGATTTTCTTACTAAAACCACGAAACCCAATATTCATCTTTAGTTCATTAGAACATGATGAAATCATAACATTACTGACTGCTTAGATTTCTTGGAAGGATTGCAATGAAGAAGATTGATTTTAACTGATCTAAGCTCGTGAAGAGCAACTCTTATGCTGATGCGGCCTTCAGGTGAACCTATGGTGCAAGATAACCCAACCTCAAGAATTTTGATCAGGCAATCATGTTGTATTTCTAATTTTGCAGGCTGGTCACCTTTCTCCATCAGTAGAAGGTCAGGGTCAAACACATTTTGCATGTTGGTTGGAAATGCTACTTGCACCCATCTGACTAGACTTTGCTCCCCCACGAAACTGTCATCAGTAGGGCTTTTCCTTGTGAATATCCCAAGCAACATGACCCCAAAGCTATATGCATCTCCAGCAGTAGACGGTTTCATTCCTACTCCATATTCTGAATTACATACGATCAATCAAATATGGTGACACTAAATGTTCAGAATTTAAGCATTTAAAACTTCTAATAATGGACTTGTTTTGGCATTAAATTTGAAGCAAAAGGAATTCCGTAAAGGTTAATCACTTAGATATTAAATATAGACACATCAAGAATATGTAAAACGAATGAATATAATTTATAAAGTATTTAAAGAGGAAGCAACAATAGTACTAACCTGGAGGTATGTAGCCAATGGAACCCTTTAGAACATGGGTGGAGCTAATAGAAGGTTTATCACCCATTTTCTCCATTAGTAGCCTGGCCAGCCCAAAATCTCCCACCTTTGCAGTCATGTCTTCATCCAAGAGAATGTTGCTGGGCTTCAAATCACAGTGTACTACAGGAACTTTACAGTCATAATGCAAGTAGTCCATTGCACTGGCAATATCAATTGCCACATCCAATCTCTCTATAAAATTCAAACCATTTCCATTCTCCTTCCTTCTCTTGCCCTTCAGCCAGTCTGCCAAGCTCCCATTACTAAGGAACTCATAAATGAGAGCCAGAAACTCTAAGTTTTTAGAGTCCATGCTTGAGCAACATGTGATCAACTTAACAAGATTTCGATGCCTCACATTTCTTAAAGCTTCGCATTCTGCAAGGAAACTCTTCCAAGATCAGGTCCTTTGGATGTCAAGGACCTTGATTGCCATGATGGTATCATCTCTAAGATACCCTTTGTATAATGACCCGAAACTCCCCTTGCCAATCAAATTCACTTCACTAAAATTCTCAGTTGCGTGGCGAAGCTCATTGTATGAGACCATTTCATGCTGCTTCTTTATAGAGTCAGAAGTTCCTGAGATCTTTGCTTTACTTTTCCTGGTATAGATGAATGAAACAATAGAAAAGCATAATGCTAATGTCGTCAAGCTAGCAATGATAACAAAAAGCTTGACAAGTCTTCTTCGACGAGTATGGGTATTCTTGCATGCCAAATGCAAGCAAAGCTTTGGATTACCTTGTAACTGGACTTCAGAGACATTTCTGAATATCCCACCACTAAGAACTGAACCCTCTAAATTGTTAAAGGAGAGTTTCAAAGATTTAAGAGCCTGTAGTTGTTGGATTTCAGGAGGAATGGAACCGCAAAGACGGTTATAGGACAGATCTAAAGTTTCTAGGCCTTTCACTTCTCCTAGACTTCCTGGAATAGGTCCTGATAATGCATTTTTGGCTATATATAATTTCTCCAAGCTCTTGCAGTTCGTGATGGAGTTGGGAATATTGCCAGACAAGTTATTGTTGGAAAGATCAATTGTAGCAACACTCCGAAGAAGCTCAATTTCTTGAAGCAATTGCCCGCTTAGGAAGTTGTGCGACAAATTCAACATAGAGCTTAAACTTGGGAGATTGAGAATTTCTTTAGGTATGCTTCCATCAAGCCTATTGTTGGATAAGTCCATGGAAAGCAAACCGTGGAAATTCCTGAAAGTTGTTGGTATTTCGCCCACCAACTGATTTCCTGACAAGTCGATTCGATTTAACTTTTGGAGATTACCGATAGAATCAGGAATGGTTCCAGAGATTTTATTTCCAGCCAAACCCAACTGTTGCAAGTCTTCCAATTGGCCGATTTGGTGTGGGATTGCACCAGTTATCGAGTTGTGGCTCATGTCTAGTAGAGTCAAGCTGCCGAGACGACCATTGATGTTGGTATCTCCCCATAAATTTGATTGCCTCCCATGTACAATTTCATGAGAACCTTGGAAAGATTTCCAACTGACTTTGGAATTACACCTCGCAAAAAATTGCCATCGAAGGCAAGGAAGTTGAGACGAGTGCTATTTGTCAAGGAGGTGATGAAGCCAAGACCATCGTCACCAGAGTTTACAATCTTGTTGTACCCAATGTTGTACATTGTGAGAGATGGAAGATTCCCCAGACCTGGTGGCACTGTTCCTTCTAAAAGGTTGTGTGCCATACGAATGATTTGTATATTTGTAAGATTGTACAAAGACCCTGGAATGGTTCCAGTGAAGTTATTAAAGCAGAAATTGAAGCCTATAAGATTTGGGAGCGTATCGCCTACATTAGCAGGAATTTTACCCCACAACCAGTTGGAAGCCAAGGCCAGATAGACCAAGGAAGACATGTTGTAAATGGTGGGAGGAACTGTGCCAACGAGGTTGTTTATGGTGAGATCAAGAAACTTTAAGTTCCGAAGATGGCTCAAGTCACCTGGTATTGCATCACTAAGAGAGTTGGTGCCCAAATTCAGATTGGTGAGAGCGGAAAGGTTTGCTAAAGATGGTGGAATTGCTCCCCAGAAAAGATTTCGCCCCAAGTTCAAAACTTGTAGCTTGGAAAGAAAGGTGAGTTCTTCAGGAACTCTTCCTCTAATCTTATTCATCATCAAGTCAAGAACTCTAAGCTCCCTTAAATTGCTTATGTTCGATGGTATTGAACCTTCTAAGCTGTTGGAACTCAGGTTCAGGACTCTCAAGCGAAAAAGATTAGAGATTTCCCGCGGAAATGTTCCTTTAAGTTGATTGTTTGAAAGTTGAAGGGATTGAAGGAAGGAAAGATTGCCAATTTGAGGGCTTATGGACCCAAGAAGCCCAAGATTGAACAGATTGAGACCTACCACCCTGTGGCCGAATTTATTATAGACAACCCCCGTCCAGTTACAAGGGGATGAGTTTTGGTTCCAAGAAGATAGAGGGTTTGGAGGGTCTAGGCTTATTTGGGACCTAAATGAGATTAGAGCCTCCATGTCTGTCTCAATGCTCCGAGTAGACGACTCCACAAAGAAAAGTACGCATTGAAAACAAACAAGAAATGTAGCTAACACCGATAAATACTTGAAACTATTTAAGTGGAACCTCATTGCTGCAGAATTCTTTTTTTTTTTTTTTTTTCGTTTGTATTTTGAATGCAAAAGAAACTAATTTGAGACTTCAGATCCTTGATGATAGCTATTTATAGCAATCCATGTGGTGGAACAAGAGGAGAAAGGGCCCCACATCCACTGCAAATGCTTAGCGTATACCCAATTCAGATTTGTGAGTTGGTCACGAATTAATTACGGTCGATTTTGTGAACACTAAAGTCATCCATGTTTATGGGTGTTGTTGGGGATGAATTAATTACGAACCCAACAAACGGTGAACTAGACTTTTGTATGGAAAAAAAATGAAGTACCCCTCACCTATTGGTTTGAAATTCTTGGTCCCAATTCCCATACGCGCATAAGAGACGGTTCTCTCACTCTTTTAACCGGAGTGACAAGCAATAACGGTATTCAAACACCAAAAAGAGTATATTTCCAAATGAGACCAAAAGAAAAACTAAAGATGAAGCTTAAATGTTACAATTGGAAAGTGGGAGACGGGAGGAAAGTAGGAAAATATGTCATCTGGGCTACATTTATTAATTTCATTTGAAGAGAAACACTATATCCATCTTTGGGAGTAAAATGAATGAGAAAAGGAACGTACGTAGGAGAAATAAAATGTGGTTAAAGATTAAAACTTCTGAGAAAAGCATAAAAAGAAAAAGAGAAACATACTTGAAGAATCAAATATTTTTTTAATCATTACTTCGAAAATCAGTTTATCAATCTTCTAAAAAAAAAAAAAATGGAATCAATTAACAAGAGCCTAATGAACCCGAAAAGCAACCTTTTATTTTTCTTTACTTTAAATTTGTTATATATATATATATATTAGTCATAGCTTTCCATATTAATATTGGTGCATTTCAAGCTATCTAAATATTTTTAAATGAACTGATCAGGCCAAAATCATTCCACTTTTCGTTTGGCTAGTTAATTAAAGAGCTTTCAGTGTTTCGTTTATGGCATTTATTTAAGTTAATTATCTATAACTTTAATTCTATTAAATCTCATCATATTTTTTTTCTAATAACAATCTTCTCTTTAGATGACAATGAATTAATATTTGTGAAACAATAAACACGTAGACTTTAATAGTATATATATCATATATGTACATACATTTTTCAAAATATATAGTTTAATAATATACTTACATGTTCTAAACATTATCATGTTAAATAATCAAACATTTTAAACGCATCGAGATAACAAATTCATTAATAATAAATTTTGAATAAACATATTATTTCTATTTTGTATAAACTAAGAGTCGGTTTAGTATAGTTATGCGGTATCGAACTTCGCTAAATAGTGACGGATGTCAAAAAATTTGTCATTATAAGTAATTAATGATAGATTAAAGATAATATGGATTTCGTTGCAAATATGGTGGTCTCTATTTTTTTAGCAATCGAATTTTTCTTCCATCACTAAATTGATCTAAATCGATCGTCTATAATGTCTAATATCTATCGTCAAATCGTCGTTATTTCCACTTAAATTCATTACTAAATAGAGATGGCATGGGCTATCGCTAAATTATAATTGTTAATATTCTTGCAATATGTATTCGTCGCAAATTACCCACTTTATTCCATCGCTAATTTTTCTCAAAAAAAAAAAAAAATCAATAGCCGTTTATAGAGAATTGTAATAATAAACAACTATAAAAAAAATTATTAAAATATAATATATTATTTAACAAAATTTAAATTATATAAATTAATATAAAATAATTAAATATATAAATACGTAAGTTGTAAAAAACATTAATTTTTTTTAAAAAAAAACAATTAGTCCTCATTATCACCATCTTTTGCATCATCTTTCGGTTGCTAGTTAAAGAAAATGCTAACTACTAAATTATGAGAGGGTCGGCGGGAGGAACGAAATGCGGTTGGAGGTTCTCTAACAACCCTACAACTCTCTAAAACTAAGTTTGAATGCCGCTAACTTAAGCGGCCTACCGTTGGATGGTAGCCTCCATCCCTTTGATCCTATCTTCGTACTAGGCGTAAATTTTCTAGATATTTCCATAAAGATACCGTAAGGTGGTAGAAGAGGAGCCGACACCAAAATGTGAGTAACACTAGAATACATAAGTTTTGATGTCATTCACTCTCTATTTCTTCTCTTCTATGACAATATCTAAATATATCTTGGACATATCAATATTTGAAGAAGATCAATCACCCACATACTGCTCCTTAGCATCTATTTCTTGCATTGATCGTACGCGCTCTTATGTCATTGAAATAATTAAAATATTAAATCATTAATATTTTTTTAGATTATATCGATAGATTTACATATATTTTTTAAAAATAAAACCTTACCATTACTATCCGTGATTGCATGTCAATGAATGTCCCATCCTTCCGCTTGTGAATGGTCATAAACAAGTTGTAAGGATTTAGGTTTTGACCCAATTTATTTCATTGAAATAAATAAATAAAATAATATGAGATGAAATAAATGAAAAAATTAATTTATAACATAATGGATAATATAGTATTTACCAAATGGTCGGCATGCTCAATCAAAGAGATAGACCTTTCAGTATGTTTGGATGGGTTAGCACCAACACCATCCGTCTCCAATATGCTATTTTGAGACATTTGTTGAAATTGAGCTTGATAGTCGAGAGTGACCAAATCCCGATGTCATGCTTCCCATATCTCATGTTTAACAAACACATGTTTTCTACTCGTTATTTGTCGACTTGTTAAGAATGTTGTCGTACCTCCTCCATACCAAACTCTTTGATGCATCCTTAATCGGTGCGTTGACAGGCATATCCTATAAAAAGTACTTCTACATAAATAAAAAAATAATATTAATACTTTTCATGATAAATTAACACTTTCAATGAAATATAAGAAAATAATTAATATGTTACTCTAAACTCATTAAAGTAGAAGTCTTTCATCTCTATGGAGATAAATTTTCATGTAGAGCAAACGACCTCCAACCACTCCTTGAAAATTATGATGATTTTTATGAAGCACTTACTTCATAGAACCAAACTATCGAATAAAATAAATAAATAAATGAATTAATGATTCTAATATAATATATAAAAATACAAAATTAATTATCCTCTCGTAAAACATATTAGCTACTAGTTATTCACGACCTAAATGGTCCGTCCATCATTAGATACATTATAACTCTTTAGAGTTGAGAAAACTATAGTGGGGTCATCCACGAGTAGGAGGCACTTACCGGTGGTAGCACTACTAGAATGGATGAAGACATGTCGGAACCACTATCAATTCCGAGACCTCGGACGGTTGGACTAGTAATGCCACGTTTATGTATACCGCCACTATCCGTTGCACGATCAATATCAAAGTCACGACCACTAGCACCACGATCGGATTTGCCCAATTCACAAGGGATAACTTGAGAATAACACCAAAAAAATTTTAACAAATGAATAAAAATTCGACGAGAAAATATATTATAAATTATTATTAATTAAAAAAAAAATTCAACACGTCCAAAATGCAAAACAAATATAAAAAAATACATAATAGACAAAAAGATATAATTTAATGAATACAATGAATAAAATTGATCTTTAATTACGATCATTATAATAAATTTCTATGTTTTCCTCTTTTTCGATTGATTCGACACATATTCACTCATCTTTTTCATTAGTTTCAAATATTTTTATATCTATAAACGATCCATTTGGATCATTTAACAACCACTCTTTATCATCATCTTAGACCAAATTATATTGGATTTCTCAATCGTCCTCTTAAAACAGATCTATAATTTGTTGGAGTCCAACGGATGATTCGATAAATCAAACACGACCTTAGCTTTTATCTAACCAACACCCTACCAATCCCAACGGTCGCACTTTAAGCTAGGATACAAAAGATAATATACTTGACTCATTTTTATCGCTAGAATAAAGTGTTCGTACATGTTGAAACTATTTTTATAATTTATCTCCGCTAGTCTATATTACGGATGAACCCTTGTTCCATTCAATAGAGGATCAAACTAGTTACATTTGAACATAACTATTTTTTTTTATTGGTTGCGCATAATACTCTAACTACGGAATTTTGATCAATATCTCATAATAGTCACTCTCATTTGTACTATAATTAGATCTTTTAATGCATACTCTACTATTCATACTTGCTCTATTTGCATTGTGCTTTTGTGTGTAAAATCTATATATATTTACAATGTACCCCGAATCATCGCTTTATAGTATGTAAAGGGCCTTTTCTAAGATCTTTTATGAGTTTGCCTTTTCCTTCTTAAATGGATGATCTTCGGGAAGGAACTTCTAGTGATTGTCAAACCACAAGCTCTTTCTTCCATTGGAAAGGGTGAAACCTTCATAATTCTCCATATAATAAGGACATGCAAATTTTTTTATAGAACTCTAATCGAACACATTAAATTTATAGAAAAGTCACCGATTTTCTACATCATAGGTAAACGTAATAGAAAATTCTCGTCGTTTGATAAACATCGTAGGCCACCATATTCACTTCCCATAAATGAAGCAACTCGCAATCAAAGACTATTAGAACACATCCAAATTATGTTTCGAGTTTGATGGTCTCGAAATAATAAATGTTAAGAACATATTTTTCTTTCATACATATTAAGCACCGGATATTCTTTCGATGAAAAAAAGGACGTGTTTGATCAAAACACAACCATGTAATAGAGTCGAACATTGGCACATGACTCTTTTATCCCCGACCTCATCTTCGAATGCCACATCATGTGCACAATTGTGACATTCGATGCATATAATTTTTGCAAATTGGGGTAAGCGAAAAGTAATACATTTTTTTCAAAGAAACACGTTTTGTTCTAATTATTCTTTATCTCGAACTTCGATATTGAGGATGTTCATAGAACTTACAAGTAGTTAATTCATTGTCTTTATCCTAATAAATCATACAATCTCTCGTTACAATAGTGAATCATTTTTACTAGTAAACTCATTC